CAATAAAATAATTCTAATTTCAAAGTCATTAATGTAGACTAGCATTTTTAAAGAACAGTGGGAAAAAATATTGGTGAGATAAGTGCTAAATAAGAGTACTGAGATGCAAGCCTTGAGAAATTCCAACTAGAGGAGAAAATAGAGCAAATGAGAAATCATCCAGGTGCATAGTGTAAGTATGGATTAAGAAGTAATTATTGTAGTAAATCTGGGAAAATGTCAAAAGAGTCGTGTAAGATATTTAAGGTAGTGAGAATAACTGAATCAAAGGCTCGTGTGATATCAAAGTAAATGATGTAACAAGATTTTTTTAGATTCAAAGCAGTTAAGGATTTTATATTGGATTTGGATGAAGTGGAAACAGTAGATTTATGTTTAATGCCACAGTGTTGATTGTAATCCAAGTTAGATGTAATATGAAAATAATCATATAGGCACTGTTCATAAAGTTTCAATAAAGTGGAAGTGTGTGTAATTGAATGATTGTTGTTTTTTGAAATTGCTATTAAATGCAAATTTTGCACTGCCAAGGAATGGAACTTGTTACTAGAACAATTTTAGCTAATTTATCTGCTGTTTTTGAAAGAATTTATCAGCAGATAAATTTTTATCATTATGCTAGGGATTGCAATGGAGCTAAAGTTGGATATATTGTGCATTTTTAATGAGAATAAAGGTGAATTATAAGTAACCAGAGATAAAGTAAGGGATTTGTAATTGACTACTTCATGAAGTTGAAAGTATCTGCTTTTTAGGTTGTGATATATTTTGTAAATTTGTATTCCCACCCAAACAAATCATGAATCCAATGCCAATATCCATAAGCATGATCTTGGGGGAAAGAAGCTTATGTTTCTGCTGCATTGGTGTAAAAAACATCTGATGGTTGTCCTTGGAGTTGACTTTGCTATAAATAACATGTCAACAGATTGTTTGAATTACTTGAAAATGTATTTGAAGTGCTTGTACACACTATAAGCAATATGGGTGTTTTCAGATAATGCTGTTGATTGTGGCTAGTTACCAGAGTTCCTTTATTTCAAAAAAATCCTTTATTTTAGCAAAACTGTCCTTGTTCTGTATTGAAACAAGAAAGAACACAATTTATCCTTTTTATTTTTCAATGTCTGTTTTATGATGGCAATGGTGGATTTCCAGTCATACCTATCCTTTTATAGATATGTATATACCAGGGGGTGTTGTGTTGAATGTAAGTTAAAGTGCTATTCTGAGTGCTGATATGATTCTACCAAGTTTAATATATATGTTATTAAAATTAGTCCAGTTATAACAGACTTCAAAAATGTATAATTTTGAAGTTAAGTTGTTAATTGAATTATGTTCTTGCATGTGAAGCACTTGAATAACACATAGATGGCCTCATGGAGTGTAAATGCATGTGCTGTAATAGAAATATACAAACAAGAGATTTGTTTTTAATGTACCATGACCTTTACTGAATTATGACTTCCATTTAGATGTATAATTAATAATTAAAATATAATTTTTACTACATTTCTATACAGAGTTCCACTGAAAATCATTCTGCGTTCCATAAGTTGCCAATCCCTGGTATACTGTAGATTGATATGTAATCAATCTATATACTTTACTATAGAAAGCTATGATTTATCATTAAATAAATTTTAAATTCTAAATTTATAAATATTTGCAAGTTTTGGTTTAGTTTAAATAAATAATCAATATGAAAATTAAATGCTTCTACTTGATTTGTATTATGTCTTCAAATCTTTCAGCTCAAATTTCATCCACTTCTAATTAAGATAGAGGGCTGAAACTTTAAGGATACAAATCTGATGACAATGCATTTTAATGATGTTTCAGATTCCACCCCAAAACCCAATAAACATAATCAAATGTATAATTTAATCAGTAATATCAATTGGTCATGGATATTTTGATGTGTGTATATAAATATGTTGTAATGATTTGGCAGTTGAGCCATCTTCACCACATACAATACCTCATTCTGAAAAGCATGAATAAAAATACAGTTTAATTGGTAATCCTACTTGTAAATATTGTTTCAAATGCATCTGTTTAATTGCATTGTAGTGATGTAAAAGCGTTTTTTCTAAACTTTTTATATTAAAATTGTTTTTAAATCAAAATCTAAAAAATATAAACAGTGCATTTAATTATTAACTAAGAAATAGTTCAGTTTTACTTTTTTGGGGTGGGACTGGGTAGAGTAAAACTTGGAGAATGTTGGCATTAATCATTTTTAATTGTCCTTTTAATCCAGCCACAGAAATCTGGCAACCTATGTACAGCAGAATCAGTTCCAAGGACAGTACAATTTTCACTTCTGTCATGTGACAAAACAACTACCCAATGAAACTCACTCCTGCCTTATTGTCATTGTGGCTGAACTGAACTTCATATAACTGTTTATTATGACAGCTTTAAAATAATCCCCCACCCAAACAGAATACACTGTTGTTTATTTTTGATAGTTTTACAAAGTAATTCATTATATTTAAACAAAAAATTTTTTATTAAAAGTGCTACTAAATAAATTTTTCTTCAGTTTAATGGTTTATCTTAAATTATTAGTGTTTGACTTTTGACTTTTTTTTAGATATATATATAATTTAATTATATATAAAAAATTATTTTTATATATGTAAAAATAACTGTCTGTATTTGGTTTCTTCAATTAGTAGCAAGTGTGTGTGTCCCTCATTGTGGTGTTTTGACTGATTTGAAAGTGTTTTTTTAATTCTTTTATAAAGTGACCTGGTGGTAGAACCTATGTGATAAAAATCATTGAGATTCTTGTTTAATTGCTGAGTGTGAATTCCAGATTTAAAATGGAAATCCAGTTTGTCTGTATCACTATGAAGAATATTCATTACTGTAGGTACTCTTCTAATGCCCAAATTAATATTGCATTTTCTGGTGTAATTAGAAGCTAACATGGTCAAAACTGACTGGGGATTGCTAAAATCTTTTGACTATTTTTCTTGGCCAAGTAAACTACATCCTTTTGTTAAAATCTTGTAGTGGCAGCTTTTGACATTGCTTATAACATTAAGGGATTCTGAAAATAAATATGCTGCCCAGTTTTGCTTATTGTAATGAAAAAATTTATATACAGTAGAGCATCGATTATCCGACTCAATTGGGGACTGGGGTTGGTCGGATAACCGAAAAATATGAAAAAATACATTATTAATATAGTATATTATTATATCTCATGTAATTAGTATATCGCTATTAACCTACTTCGCATTGAATTTTCATCGATGTTAAGCCTAACAAAAATTTTTTAAAAATAATAATCGTCACTATTGTATCGTTAAAAATTAGAAAATTAAGCCTCGTTTAAATACTGGCTCTCTTTCATGGTTGAGCCATGTTGCCAGCTAAAACACATAAAAGTACTATTACAGTAGCCAAGACATAGCCAAATATTGTAGTGCCACATCACTAGCGGACATTTGAATTTGCCAACTAGAACGTGGTCGGTTAACCGATGTGACGGTTAATCAGGGGTCGGATAATCGATGCTCTACTGTATAATATGTTGACACCCAATAATTGCCCATTTTTTTTGAAACTTACTAAAATCATAAGTTTTTTTTTTAAACAGTTGATAAAATATCTAATGAAAGCAATAATTTATATTCTCCAGTATATGCTATGAGACATTTTATGATATGATAGAGAAATAAAGCTTCACATTTTAAATTCACTTAGATCATTAACAATACATTGTTTTTTCATTTTGTCATGTTCTAATTTATCCTAATATAGTTGAAAACATAAGATACTACCATATTTTACAGTATATAAGATGCAACATTTGTCCAAAAAAGGTTCAAAAATCATCCTGCATCTTATATGTGAAGTTTTAATCTCCCATAGACTAATGAATTTCCCAAACAGTCTTCAGTAGGCTATAGATCAGCAGTTACCAACTGGGGTTTGTAGACCATTGATGGTCCACAGACCCCAGTTGGTGATCCATGGAGAAATTTGGATGTTGATCCAACTCGAGGTTATGCAAAGTATTACAAAAGAAATGCAAAATGCTTGGTTGTTTTTTCCTTCACTCATTGGGAGTTTATTTGAATCTAAAATCAAACACAAAATGACTGTTTCTAATAAATAATAATGTCCAATAAATCAATAAATAATCAACAATAAATAATGCTGTGCATGTGATTGTTGTTCTTAGTGAAAAAGAGACAAGAACCCATACTTATTTCAAACAAGCAGCAACAAACTTCACGCTAATTTGTAATAATAATAATGAATAAATTCAGATAAATAGAATTGCAATTTGCAAGTGCACATAAATTAGTTAAATTCACTAAAATAATTTGTGGTATTAAAAAATTTTTTTAATCTTGTAATCATGTTTAAACTTCATGTGATATTTTGACAGAATGAATAAATTCTGATTTTATTAAAAATGTAATATTTAACTAATGAAATTACTTTGTGCTGTTATTGTAATATGATGTAATTTCTCTTTTATGGTATTTATTTAATAAAGCTTAGATTAGATTTTATTATTTAGAAATAGTTAATAATTTATGTAATAAAAAATGTTTTCTATAGATTGTAACTTAAATATAATTAATTGAAAAACTGTTTTAATTTTGAGTCTGATCCCTTTAAGATCAATTAGTTTTAGTGTTATATTAAATTAATATAATATAATCCTTTTTAAATATCAACTCCATAATTACTAACAGGACCAAAAATAGACTAAAATGGGATATAGAAGTCTGATGTTTAGTGATGATACATTTTAGTCTCAGATTTTTATCATTAGATCAATATTCCATTAAAAATGAATGTAAAATGAAATGAGCAAAGAGCTTTTTGAAAAATGACAAAATGTATATTTAGATTTTTTTACAATTTAAAAAAATAAGATGCATTGTATATTTGCTTAACATTGTGATTTTAAATTTTATTATTTTAAATATGAAAATAGTAATTTTTAATTATCATTTATTTTTTAGACATGGAAAACATTATTCACTTGGATGGTCAAAGCACTCAACCTGGTGGAAGTAGGAGAGATGGTACTAAAGAGGTGACACTTACAGATTGTAAATCCGATGAACATATAGAGAGACAAAGGCTCTCTAGAAACTCTAAGACAGATGAAAGTCCTCTTCCAGAGGCTGCCTTAGATTCAGCCCTTCCAAGTGACAGTGATCACAATTTTGATCATCATAGTTCTGAAGAGGAGTTAGAAGTTATAAACAGTGCAAGTGTTCACCAACAGAGGAACTGTCAATATCCAGAAAAGAGAAAGTGGTCTCAAGCAAATCGTTTAAGTCTTGGTGAGAACTCATGTTCATCTGATGATGAATTACGGGACCTTATGTGCATTTCAGCTCCTGTGGAGTTTCGATCGTCCCCACCAGCCAACGTCCATAAACCAAGTCATTCACAATCACCTCCACCAAAGGTATTCCATTCTTCGGCAGCAAATATCCCACCAATTGAACTGTGTTCGGTTTCACCGAGAAAAAGACATCGTCGGACACCAACTGCAACTAGTGGTGCAAATGTCCAACGGCCATGTTTGGACTTTGAAAAAATGCAGCAGGTGAGTAGTTTTTTTAATATTTATCATTTGAATTTAAATATATATTGAAGCAATTTTAATTAACAATTTAATTTTATAAATTTTTTTTCTAATGTCAAAACTGTTCTGCAATGTTGTGTTAATAATTAAAAAATTTACATAATATGCTGTCTGTTTCAATATAAGCAAGATTCTCTGTGGAGAACTTTTTACAATAAACTTCATTTTATAACATATTTTGTTTCAAAATTGTTTAATATTTCAGAAGTTTAAATGCTTTGCTTTTTATATATTGATGAATAATTATTGTTTGTGAACTGATTTCTGTGGATTTTTTTTAATGGAGCTTTGTTTAAATGTTGAATGCTTTTAGATATAGTAGTTTAGTTTATAGGTTTCTTTTTGGATTCTTTTTCTTCCAATACAATTATGTGTTATGCATTATTCTGAATTTCCAATGTTTAGGAATAAGTTGTTATAATAATAACTATGTAAGTGAGACATTCATTTTATAATTGCTCTTTGTAAATTTGATGATTTATTGTGTGAATAAAATCATGTTTATAGGAGAGAAACAATAAATGCATGAATATTTTTGTTCATTCTTAAATTAATGTTATACTATTTTCATGTGCCATTGGTTTTTCCATTCTATTTTAAATGAAATTAATCAGAAATAAAGTTTATTTGAATAACTTACTCTTAATGAATATTTTGTAACCAGAAGTTCTGAAGTATAGCTTGATTCAAGGTTAATTTGTAGGAACTTAATTTAGAAAATTTTTTAAATAAATTTTATTATGTTGCTTGGAATTTAGCACCTAGAATTTAAGTAAGAATTATTTGGGGAAATATCATTATTTGAACATTTTTAATGACTTATAGATTGTAGATTAATATTTTAAAATCATTGCTTTCTAATTTCAAAACATCATTAATCTAGTCTAAATTATTGAAGGAAAATATTTTTGAAGATTTCTAGTTTAGACATAGCTAATAATTAATTTCAATGAAAATCAGATTCAAAATAGTCCAATTAAGTTGATTTGTTTCTTTTATATTTATATATATAAATTGTAATTCATTATTCTGCTTATTAGCATTAGAAAAAATTCTGAATGTTGTTTTTTAATTATGAAAAATTGATTTTTAGTGTCTGAATTTAAATTACTACTTAAAAATAGTTTATTCTGCAGTTGAAATTTTATAAAGTAATAGTCTTAAGTACAACTACGATTATTACAGAAATGTTTTTTATGCTAATGAATAAAATATTCAGTTTAAGTAAATAACTATTGCTTTTAACTTTTAAAAATTAATTGAAATCATAACTTTAGTGACACTGCTGTTTTTCCTACTATACTATACTATTTATGAATAAAACAAGTAAAGAATAAAATGACTATAAATTTGTGATTTTTGAGATAAATTTTACAAGCCAGAATTTGGATTTCATATATCATCTCTAATTAAAAAGACGATTTTATCATTTATTACCTGACATCAAATAAAATTTGGTTAAATTTATGTTAATAGTTATTTGTCAATAACTATTAATATAAATTCTAAGCATTTCATAAATTGGAGTTTTGGGTGTTAAAACTTTCAATTTTTTATTATTATTATTGAAGATGAAAAAAAGTAAAATTACTTTAAATTATACATAAACAATAAAATGTACTTATCATTTTTAATCATGTATTTTAGTAACTATTTTCAGTTAAGGTCAAGGAATTGAATGTTTAGATTGGGCTTTATATAATAATGTTAATTTCATTTTTTAATTTGAAATGAGATTATGCATAAAAAATTTAATAATAGTTTGAGGAAAAAAGTTGTAATTATTTTAGAATTGAATTCAAATATGTTTTTGAATGTTTGGATATTTTTATATTTTATTATTATTACATATTTTGATGGGTATTTAGCAGATTCTTATTCTTAAAATCTAATTATTTATATGAAAATTCAGGATTAGATAAAATTGGATTGTCATTTATTAAATTTTTAATAAATTATGGAGAGGATTATATAAGAAATTGAATTAATGGTAAATAATAATTGATTCAAATAGGTAAATAAGCTAAAAGTTTTATTTCAAGTTGTCATCTTTTATTACAGTTAAACATTTTTTTGGGGGACTTTAGTTCTTACNAAGTTTGAAAAATATCAATTTTGTTATTTATTGACTTTTTTTCTTTTTAAGAAAATAATTTTATCCCTCTAGAAAATTGTCTATTCAACTACAATTTAAATATAAATCAATATGAAGCAATTATAATTGGAAGAATTTGCATATGGTTTCATTTTAAACTTTCTAGATTTGTTTTGAATTTGCCAAGGAATTTTTTAGTGTCAGTGTAGTATAGCAAGTTTTAGTCTAACTGAACATTTTCTTTAAATAAAACAGTTCATATTGAAAGATTTTTTTTTCAAAATGTAATTAAATTTTTAATAAATTATGGAGAGGATTATATAAGAAATTGAATTAATGGTAAATAATAATTGATTCAAATAGGTAAATAAGCTAAAAGTTTTATTTCAAGTTGTCATCTTTTATTACAGTTAAACATTTTTTTGGGGGACTTTAGTTCTTACTTGATGGAGATCAAAGTCTACAAAAATGTCTGCCTGTAATGAAAACAAACCTTCTTGAAATAGATCGAAAGTTTCATTTGTATAATCTAAGATGTTCTGCAAGTGATTGTGTAGTATTAGGTCTTTGTTCTGGGATATTATTTTTAAGGTTTTCTCTCAAAATTACAAACATAGGATTTTCAGAATTTACCTTATGTAATTGAAAGTTGATATGCAAGTCACAGCAAGTGTATCAGTGTTAGTTTTCATTACAGAAATCTATAAATTTGTACTGTTGCAGTGTTAATATTAATTTTAATAAAATTTAACACATTATTTTTTACTAATAATTTTTAATTTGTATGTTGGTTCATAAAATATGAATTACAAACTATTTCATAAATTAATTAAACTTCAAGATATAGAACTTGGTTCTTGGCAAATTAAATATCTAAATATTTAAAATTTCACAATAACTGGTGCATTTTGATTAATCAAAAGTGAAATATCCTTTATAAAAACTTCATAAACTTTTTTAAAGTAATTTGAATTGCAGTTAATACGGTTTGTATGTTAAAGAAATGATTAATGTGCATGTGATGTGTTTTTTAAGAAATTTGTTTTTAAGTATTTAGCAACAGGCTAGATATTACTGAAATGTCTTAAAACAGCTTAAATTATTTTAGACATTCTGAGAAGTGCTGGCTTACTTCCAACCAATGAATATATTATCTAATGTACTAAATGCTGAATTTTATAAAAAAATGATTAAGGTTACATTGATATAATTGTGATAGTCTTTATACATTAGATTGAATGTTGATTTTTATTTTTTTTCTATTTTTATTATAAATTTTTTTTGCATTTTTAAACATTTTTTATTTCTTAAATTAATATATATTTGATTATAAAAGTTTCATCAGTTTTCAAATTAATCTGGTATTTTCTTATACTTCATGTTAATTAGCAGCTGTTCAGATATTTGTTAAGTTAAAACTTTAATTGTATTTATTTATACTGTAAGTTTTTAGTTATATATGAAGTTGTTTGGAGAGAGATCTTATGCATATTTATGGATCATTGAAGTGTATTTTAGATTTTTGGCATGCATCCAGCTATTTTGGAAAGGAATACTTGTTGAGAATGTGTATAGAGTGAGTTGAATGTTAATTAAGTTTGGTAAAATCATGGCACATTCTACAAACATAAATTTTGAAAAAAGGATTTTGTGCATTTTATTTGGTGCATTATTTTTAATGATTTTGCTATTAAAGTTTTATTATATGCATGGAGAATATTGATGAATTGTCAATATTCTAATGCAGTTTGTATTTAGTTGATTGTTTGATATTTAACATAGGACATACAAATTGTGTTCATTAAGTTTTGTTTACTAAATGAATGCATGGAACAGATAGTAATAGGAAAATTTTATTGAAAATGATGGGACCAGACAGCATTTTTATGCGTGCATGTAGACGTGCTTGCTTGTATTTTTATTTTCATTTCATATTTTCATTAGCATGACTGTAATAATATCACATATTTTTCTTTTAAGAAAAAAAAATAATGCTGAGCATGATTGCATCTAAGGTCCCATTTAATATCTTGCTTTGCAATTTCCATTTTTACAGATTAGGGTGAGGCTTTTGTGAAGTTGACCATACCTCCTCTGTGTGGATGTAGCAGTTGTTTTGTTACCTCAACTTTGCCGCCAGGAGGACTTAAAGCTGGTGTCGTTGGAAATTATAAGAAGAGGCTTTTTTTCATTTTGTCGTCCAATGATCTCTGTGATGTAGACATTCCAGAGAAAAAGTGTACACATACAGCCGCTCAGATGCACAATGATAATCCTTCTGGATATCTTTTACTTCTAAATATGAGACAGCTGTGTTCATGTGTATCTGTAGTGGGTGAGTTCTTCACTGTCTTCTGTATCACATTAAATATGTTGAATGACAACTAGTGTTGTGTCTATGATCTTGATTTTTGACTTACAATTATATGTTTTGTACCACAAATGAATGGAAGGATCATGTGGTATTTCTCCTCATTAAGGAGGCATTAACACACATTCTGAATAATAAAGAAAAAATATGTACACATCTTTAGAAATGTATATATTCTTTAGTTCTGGATATTAAAATTTTGGTTGAGATATAAACAGTGTTTTTATTAATTGACTTGTTTTAAAAGTTTAAAGAATACATTGAAATTGAGAACCACTTAGTTATGTAAACACTACATATTTATCTACAGTATATCAAAATTTTTTTTATTAAAATAGTTTTTGATTATAATAATGTGTAAACTTTAAATTTAAAACAATTATATAGTTTATAAAATTTTAAAAAGAGTACACACACAATAAGATTGTAATTTTGCCATTTTGTTATAGCAACTGAATAGGTAATCAGTTTATTATCTACCAGAGTTGTGATTAG